TAAATGGCGACAAACTTGTTACCAGTCCTTTCAGGGTCCACGTGAAGGAACGACAAATTGATGTTGTGGGCGAGTTAGTTCTTAAAGGAGAAATTCTTGACAGGCCAAATTGGATTGCTGTCAACAGCAAAGGAACTATCGCTGTTAGTGACGATGAGAAGGACTCCATCCTAATATTTGATAAGGATGGAAATTTTGTGCAAGAATTAGGCTCCTATGGAGAAGGGCCTGGGCAGCTTGCTGATCCAGCTGGAGTGACATTCCTGAATAATAACGAGCTTCTGGTGGTTGATGAACTAAATGGCCGAGTTGAAGAATTCAATGTACATACAGGGAACTTTTTGAAGAGCTTTGGAAAGGAAGGGAATGATGACGGCGAATTTAACAGACCCGAAGGAATTTTCATTAATGATGAAGGACATGTCATTGTAGCGGATTGCCTTAACAACAGAATCCAGGTCTTGGACAAAGATGGTAAATTCATGTTCAAATTTGGAGACAACGGCCCAGGTGAGCTAGAAGAACCTAGTGGATGCATTTATCACAAAAACAAGTTCATTGTATCTGACAGTGGAAACCATTGTTTGAAAGTGTTTAACAAATCAGGAAAGTTCTTGTACAAGATTGGAGAGGAAGGCGAAGCTGATGGACAATTTTCAAATCCATGTGGTTTGTGTGTTGAGAAATATGGCGATCATCAGAATCTTTTGGTGTGTGACAGTGGTAATGGACGCATTCAACGGTTTACAATGGAAGGTCGTTTTATTGGCAAAACTAAGATTTATCTAGAAGGTCCGAACGCAATAGCTATAACACCAGATGGTCGTATTTTGGTTTGTGACTATCAAGACAAAAAAATTTATATCTTGAAATAGGCACTCAAATGTGTTTTGCAAAAAGGAATAATAATGTAGGAATGGCAACAAAGTTAGCACTTTTATCATTACACCGGCAATCAAATATTTTATAGATTTGTATTTTTCCTTGAATATGATCAGCTAAGAGATCTTACAGGTGCTTTGGATGTATGTGTTAAAAAGCTGACACACGCGACCTTCCACCTCCTCTCATAGCTTAATTTCTAGGAGTGCATGTATCAGTTGAGACCGCGATCCTCTCCCTCGGTCCCAGTTCTTTTTGCCAATATTTTAGTTTGGAAAGAATATTGTAGTTTTAGCTTGTCATGTATGTTTAAGTGACAGTTTTCAATTTTGCAGGATAAGACTAAAACAACTGTTTCTCTGAAAATAATATTCTAGTTTTAGCTTGTTTGGTATCTTTATGAGTGAATTCTTTTTTCAATCTGCCAAACTGGGGTAGAAAATACAAATTAGTTACTTTAAGATATTTATGCAACTATAGACATGCTCACACTATAAATTTATTTTCTTCTTTATTGTAGTTAGATGATAATTTTTTTAGAATAAACTAGAACTTAGAAAAGTAGACTCATTCAATTCTGGTATAAATGTAGATGCATAAAGATGAGTGATTGATATTTTGGCTGAGCAAAACTTCATATGTAATGACAATGGAATAGTTATTAATGACTTATTGCAAGCATGCCATTACTTGTGATCACAAATAGACTGTGAATTTATGATTTTAATGTAATATTTTTAGAGATCTTAATAGAATTTGCATTGTTAGAGACCTGTTTACGTAGTGAAAAAAAAGTGGTATAGCTGTGCACTTGATTTATCAAACACTGGATAGAGAAATAAATTTTTGATTTGGTTAACATTCTTTGCTTTCAGTAATGAAATTAAACATACAACTTGATTTTCTCACAAAAAAAACACTCACAAGAAATTGAAGAATCTGTATTGAAATGCCCAGCAAAATGGTCCTGGACAGGCAAATTGTGAATATTGAGTATCTAGAGCATTCATTTCATTCGAGGTCATGGAATTTATAGTTGATTTTTTGTTCTTGTTTTTCTGCCCAAAATTAGAAGCAACTACAACTAATTTATTCATCAATGGATCTTCTTTTGTATGGAAGCCATCAGGTCATAATTTTGGCAGCTAGAAATTCTGATGGGCCCGTGACCGACCTGAGTTGCTTTGAATAGGAAATCATCACAGTGTAGTTTTTATTGAATGACAATAATCAAGGCCACCTGAGAGGAGTCTGCAGTTGGGTCCTACTTATTAGTGATAAGGATGACTGTGGAGAATACTGAAGGCTGAAAAAGATACAAAAGGCTGCTATATTATTGATTAATTAGACTTTGGTTAAACCTCAGTTTTATCTTCCAATTACAAACCTTTTTAATGGGCCATCAGAATATTAATTTCTGACTAATTTGTTATCATGTGGCTCAAATGTCAGAAGTTACACTTTGTAAATAAGAAATAATTTCTGATATTATACATAACAAGAAAAAAGTTGTAAATTTGTAGTAATAACAATTTCTTTAACTAAAATGAATGGCCAGAGGAGACTTAGATATATGACTGACTCTATACTTAGCAAACTAATTATTGTGGTGTAAT